TCAGCGGACCATGACCTGATCTCCTCACCCTAAACCCCACTTAATCCACAGGCCAACAGGTTAATCCTCCTCTTTAGTTGATAACCATCTACAACTTCCTACATGAATCACTCCTGATCCCAATCAGCTAGTTTAGCTTACTGCTGAGCCAGCAGCCATGAAAATGACTTTGGCAGACACTGAGCACATACATGTAGGGGTTTGCTGTCTGAATCTTTGATTTTCATTTAGACAAGCAGCAAATTAGCACAGATCTGCGGTTTTAACTCGTTAAACAAGATGTTACACATTCATCACAATACAACAACATCTAAGATGCTATCATCAACAGAGATACAGGCTGGTTCTTGAACTGTGGTACTTAAAAACAAGCAGTGCCAATGAGTTGGTACATGTAGTACTGGTATTATCCACTGCTTCACAAGATTGCATACTATTATCAACTACTACCTACTACTACTACTACATTAACTAGGTACAATTTCTGACTTAAAATTACTACATGTAGAAGTGATTGGTTTACTGTTAAAACACAGTAGATTGGCAATTGCAGCCACAGCTGAATAATTGCGCTGAGCTTTACTATAAAAATTCAACTACAGTAAAACCAACATGATAATTGTAACAATATGTACAAGTAACATTAAACAGTGTTGCCGTATACACTAGTTTATTGTTGTGACGGTTGACACGAAGAAGCAGTCTCTGTGGGGTATCATCTCAAGATTACTGTCCAGCATTAGTAACTGATAAGTTCTGTAGCCCAACAAGGTGTACTACAAGATACACATACATTACACAAAACTTTCATGTCTTACTGTCAACTTGACATATTGTAAGGTGGCAGTTTTGGCAGCACTGTGAGGTTCTTGCGCAATCACTTTGACTCCACCTGACCTGATTTTGGCGCGATTTCCGCGCCGTGTAACAAACAGTGTGACGGCGCCGGAGGTTTACACCCAGCTGCATTAACGTGACACGCGTGGGCGATTCCCTAGTGCCATAACAATCCTGGCAAGTATGTAAAGTACGTAATGCAAGGCTGGAAATACCAACAGGTTAGTGCAGATAAAACTGGTGTTCTGCAGGGTGATAATTTCAGATGTCCCTACCTGGTCCTAGCCTGCACCAGTCCACATTATGTGTATGTGGCTTTTGTTAGCTGTACTGATTTTGTACCTCCTAAATGCTAACCAAACAATCCAAACAGTTTCTTAACATTACCCAATGTGTGTTGGCATTCTAACTAATTTGCCTCTTCATTTTTTTCTGATTTGAAAAAAAAAGAAGATTTTAAGTTCTGAAACAACTAAAAAATGTTCACATTTCAAAGAGAGTTCTTATCTTCCTTGTTGTTAAAGTTTTCCCATCTATCAATGCAGTGGTTTCATTAAAACTTTCATTGTCTGAATTACAACCCAGCCCACATATATTGACCATGGCACCTATTGTAACATTTCAGGCTATAATGGGGTGCCTTGGCCTGTTTTTCTTTAATTTTAATAACAACATAATTTTGCCCTGTCACTTCATATTTTTTTTAAAGAAATCTTAGAAGTAACATACTAAATTGGTGTGGCCTATTGAATAGAAAGGAAAAAAATGCCCAAAAAACTATTTGAGAGGTACAATGTACATGTATGAGATCTTAAATTTTTTCTTTCAAAAATTAATGTTACCAGGTCCAGTACAAGTATGGAGAAAACGTGTTTCAAGCCCTGGCAACCCATCAGGTGGATTTGTACACAGCAGGAACTCTGATCCCCTCCACATCACACCATCTGGTCTGCCAAAGCCTCGAGTCCCAAGCCTGCGTGAAACTCACACATCTCAGACTTAACGCAGGCCAACCAGGAATAAACGTTTCGAACCCACGACCCACTACCACTTAATCCTTGACCTTCTCAGCTTAGAGGATTGTAACCACTTTTTTTTTTTTCAAACCTTATGATTACATAGTGCAGAGGGTTATATAACTGTGGGTGGATAACAGTGGTTAGTGAGGGGAGGCGAGAGAAGGGGAGCAGACAGCGTAATATGCCATTTCTAAAGTAATGAGTTCTTAATAATCAAATTTTGCCCTGTCACTTTTTTTTAAAAGAAATTCCAGTGAATGAATTACCTGGTATTCTTACCTTACCTGGTGATGCTCAATGTAAATTAAACATGTTTCTTAGAAGACATGTATCAGTGTCACAATGAAATAACCCATAAAGTTGGGATAATTTTAGTTCATACCTGTTACTCTCTATTGTAGATTTTGCTTTGTTCCTGTCATGCCATGAGCCAATACAATGACTTGGCAAAGAGTACAATTATATAATTTCTTTGCAAAAAAAATGGAAGAAGAAAAGGGATAAAATTTTTGTATACAGCAGATGTTCTGAAACAGCGCTATCATATTCATACAAGTGTTTAGACTTTAGACTTCTTTGCAAAATCTTCTTTCTGTAAATACTTTTAAAAAAAATGAAAACTACAAAGCACAAGACTGAATTGCATTTGTTTCTTTTGGTAGAAACAATAATTTTTAGGGAAGTGCTATTCACTGGAAAAGTGGAAAGATAGTTTAATAAATGACTCCAGTGATTGTGACGAAGTACCTACCTCCTATCGACAACAAAAAATATTACCCATGTCATCATATTCCACTGATATGTGCCTACATCATATCTAATCTGATTGAAAACATAGGGCCAACATATATCATGTAAAACTGTCACCAACAATAAAACCCTTCTGGTTAAATCAAAACATGGATCCATACCATACCAGGCATATAATTCTATTTGCTAAATTTTATGTAACAGTTTTGTGAATTTTATTTAGATTGCCAGTAACAATTTAAAATTGATATTTTTCATGTACAAGTAATAAGCACCTACCGAGATAAATTTTTGGATCACTGGTCAAAACCTGTCATGTACAAAATGTACATGTATTTTTTATTGCTTATGAAATTTCCTAATATGCCTCCTAGGGAATTTACGGTGTGAAAGATATTGGACAGAATGCCTATAAACATTTTAAAAGGAGCCCAAATTTAGAAGGGTCACACAACAACCAACTATATCAACCAGGATAAAAGTTTAAGATGGCTAGTTTTCACACATTGCCAATTTTCCCCCTGTAACCTACACATAGTGTATATTATATCACAAGGGAAATTACCAAATTATAACAGAAATTTTCTATATTACATACACATATATTTTTTGGTCATTTTTGGATGATCTACAAATGTAAATCCATCATATTCCATGAATTCCATTAAAATTCAAGTTGCTAATGATAATGGTCACCTCATTAAAAATGAACCAAACTTTGAGTATACACTTCATATTTGTCATATTTACTTGTCTGCAATTATGTCAGAAGAATAAAAGATTATCCCATTCTAGGAAGACGTCAAACTTTGAGCCATGAATACTGTACAATGAATGTAGTACATCCTGTAAAGTACAGTATAAGCTGAGTCACAGTTTGAACTGTGTATGCATGAGGTCAAAGGTGAAGGACCCTTACTTTAAAACAGTTAACAATTTAGACATATTTATGTTTCAGGTTTGACACATTACCCACATTGCATTACTTCACACATGCACAGTTAAAACCATGAACTAGCTTATTATTGTCAGTCTGCTGCAGAAGAGGTGGAAAAAAACCTTCAGGCTGGCTTGAGCAAGGGAAATGGATGATTGATATGCTAAGTTCTTCAGTGCCTGAAGCAAGGGCGACAACCCTTTATTATAAATGTGGCTGTCCTCGCCGCTTAGTAAGAATTGATGAGGAAAGAATACATCATTGTACTCAGAGGAGTAATAGGAATAATTATGGATCACTTTGCACTTCACAATTCACATCAAATAGAATGGCAACATTCATCACAAATAAAACTTTTACACTTTTTACATCGATTACTGCTAGCACACAGCACAGTCATTACTTCTGCTTTATGTTTGATGCTATTCCAAAAGCATTGCACATATACATGTATATGGTTTTTCTCAAGTGATAATCTAATTCTGCATCACACATAGATCTAATGAGGGAGCAAGTTAACTAAACTAAAACTGTAGATAAAATTACACACATCAGAATCAATAGAATAGCCACATTATGTGCAGTCTAATTACATGGATATGTAATAAAATTTCAATTACATTATTCCTGACCTTTTAAAGGGATCATTTGACACCCCATTTAAATGACAAGATTACCTTTGGCAATGTCACTAAAATTTGAAACACTTCTTAAATCAGTGCTGGGATTAGAGAGGAAAATATGGTACCAAAAATTGATTTTGAACTTCAAATGCTATAACATTTCCATTGCCATAATTGAAAAATTGTATTCAAGATCAGGAGTTTTTATAAAAATGGGAATATCCGGTTAAGTATTTTCTTATCACTTTAACATTGTGGTGTACCCAGAACTGTATACGCTCTTAATTTTGTTGCATGAAAAACTTTAACCAAGAAACTGTAGTGTTATTCTTGCATTTCTCAGCCTTACATGGGTTTGTGCATGTCGCAGCACACTTAGACGTCCAGCAAGGAAACCCAAAGTTCCGTGGTTCAAATCCCACAGGACCAATATGACCGGATATTTGATTAGTCTTGCCAACAGCACCTGATGCTGCCCCTGACCCTAATTATTACCTCATTTATAACGTCACTGCTGCTTATACAATTAAGTTATATACTGATGTTCAACTAAAGTGGGTCAAAGTACAGGCTACTCAAAGCAGACAAAAGCAAAGTTTAAGGCAATTTTTTCTTAATTTTCATAATTTATGGTAGACTGATGGATCAAGCACTACAGGATCTGCAGAATTTCAAACCTTGAAGACATACATGTATCCAAGATTACAAAATGTAATACACTTAATTTTTTCAAACCATTTCTTTCTTGATTCTACAATCAGATACTAGTATATTGTATGGACTTGTCTATTTTTTCTCCATATTAAAAACTGACAGATAAAAAGTATAGCATACCTGTGTCTGTTGTACCCAAGTGTATGGGAAGATGGCAGCATGAACAGGTGAGTTCAGACAGATGAGGTAGAGTTGTCACACATCAGGTGGAACATGGATGAAAGAGAAAGAACAAAGAAAACTGAATTAGTCTCCAAGCTAAACATCTGAAACATACCTTAATGTAGCATATTTTCTTACCATGGTAACAGACACTGTATGTAATTCATTATTGGCAGCAGTACTTTACCCCTTGATTTTTGTATTAATACAAACAATATACATAGATAATCTTAGGAAAATCATTTCATTCAAGATACAATGGTAACAGAAATAGATTATTGGCAACAATACTTTTACCTCTTAAGTAAGTCTCTTAATATGCATGTACACAGCTTCTTAGATATATTTCATTGTAACTTAGTCTAGCCACAGTGTAACTGTATATTATATAGGTGTGTATGACAAATGTATATATTTAGATGCTGAGTATGTAGTGGACATGTCTGTGCATTTATTTTATTCAATTTCAATCAAATTTTATATCATTTGATATAACAATGGCAATGTCTGGGTGTATATCAGAAAATGTTAATTTACAGTTTCAACAAGTAAGTTTCAACAACACGAAAGTCCTAGAGACATTCACTTATCAAGCACGTTCTTAGTAATACGTGCTGTGTATCAAAGTAAACTATGACTTCAGAAGATACTCCCTCTTCTATCTACATTTTTTTGTAGAAGCCAATGGTCGAAATACTTTTCTTTGGTGTGCTGCAATGTTGCAGTATGACATTGTCAAAATTTTGTTATGCAATTTGGACATACTGTCTATAAATACACATTACCAATAGAACATTTGGCAACAGAAAATGGGGCATTTTTACTGCTAAACCTGGTTTACAAAGCAAGATATGTTGTTTGTGTTTCACCATTGAACCCATAGCCTGATTTTTTCAGTCAGAAAATTGCAGGTTTCTTCATTTTTCTTCTGCGGTATTGAAAATGTCTCTGCAAAATGCAGACTGCAGGCAGGTATACTCTGAAGCTAACTGCAATTTTCCCCTGTAGATAACAGATCTACAAGTTCTCCTCACTTAAAAGTTTAACGTCCCTTGATACCCATATCTTTCTCTCTGAGACCTTTCCCATGCCCACAGAACACCCCTCCTGCCTTCCTAACCAGCCTGCCTGTCAGTTCTCCCTCTCTGCCTGGACTTGACATGTAATTACCAACCTGGAAGCCATGGCCAGTAATGCTACAGGACACAAATGAAACCCCTGCCCAGCAGGCGAGCCCATTGTAACGTGAGGTCTAGCCACTATTATTCAAACTGTAATGAACACTGCGGAGGTGAAAATTGCTTGGGCCGCGATGCCCACGGCCTCATCTCCGATACACCCGGCAACGCGTATCGGCGCGATCAATAAGCGTATTAGAATTGGGGTCAGCGCCGAGTCTATTTTTCTGCCGACCCCTGAGGGATCAAGGACTTGTGATGCCGTCTGTAGCCAAACTCAACTTGGGTTCTCTGTCTTTTACGAGACATATTTGCTGGAAGGCTCTGCACTGGCAGAGTTGTACTATGCAAGATTACTCATTGTTTATGATACAACGTGCCACAAAATATTGGTAGCAAGGTAAAGAATCAATGAAGGCAGTTAGACAATGAAAGACTCTCATTGATCTGAAAAAATAACCAAACAGATTAACACACTTCCTTAACCATCTCTCTGCTACCTGATAAGCAAAAAATAGAAAATTATGTGCCAACTGTTAAACTTAAAGCATGCTATAATATATAAGAAAATTTTTATATTTCCCACCCACATATCCTCATATTCCTTGGGAAAGTGTGTGGGCAGGAGAGTGGGTGTTGCATATCTGACAGGCTTACAGAAACCACCGTGTGAATCCAAATGTAGTGATTCCTGCGGTACTGAAAGTCGTGCAAGGCAGGGTCCTGTCACTCGCACCACTAACCGCACAGCTCAAGGGTGTTGGGTTTAACCTGAGCGTACTGTATGGAAGATTTCAACATCTAACCTGCATACTAATCTGTGGGAATGCTATCACACTATTATAAGAAAAACCCAAATGCTCCAACACTTCTCGCTATCAAAAGGCTCAAAATACCTTCGTTCTATTGTCATGCATACATGTATAGTCTACCGGTAGAATCAGGGACTCTCGAAGTTTCTACCCTAACATATGTCTATTTGGACAAAGGAAAAATAAAAACTATGAAATATAAATGTCAAACTATTGTCTATTTAGAAATTATCAACCTGCCAGGGATTGAAAATAAATACAGGTTGAAGATTGTACAATCATGTACAATGTAATACTGTAAATTCATTTATGTTCAAGCAATCAAGGGGAGTCTAGTTATAGCTGTGGATGTTCGTGGTGTTTTAAGCTTTTAGTTGAAACAGTTATTACAAGTAAAATGCAATGCTTGACTGAACATTGTCATGTTGCCATGATTTCGAAGTGGAAAGGTCCCTGTAAAAACTGCTGGGAAAAAACACAAAACTTGCCAATTTTATTTACAGTACCCGAGTATCGGAAGAACACATGACTTTCTGGTATAGACATCGTGGCCGCCCCTATAGAATCCACAATTTCCTGTTATTGTCAGACCTCAATAACCCGTGACTCCTGATCCCTCCCCGCAATTTGACGTAGCTGGTATTCACCAGTCCATCAAAATGTGTCCAATCAAGTTAACTGTAAGATCTGGGAGGGCAATTCTAAGTATCACTTGGTGCCCACGCAAAAGAATAAAAACAAAAAAATTGTACCTGTCCAATAACACAAAAATAATGTAACACTGGTCACCTCAATTTTGGAATGTCACTTTCCGAATTTTGAGACAGCTATGTTGAAACCCCTGATTTTCAACTTTGTTATTCCTGGATGTACAGTGAACTTTTGCATGCCATTGGAAAGATCATGCTATCTTCAGTACTAGGTTGCTTTTTTTATGGTCAGAATGTACAAATTTATCAAGATATTTGACTTTAAAAATTGCAAGTTATAAGTTTGGGACATTATAATTAAATTACTACTATTCCATTCTGTATCGGTATAGCTGGTATTACTGCCCTTTGGCGTAACAAACCAGCTTAAATTCTAGCATCACATATAGACTTAATGGCACATTTCTGATATATTGTAACTATAATTTTATTACGTTGTAGCAAATAATGACTGCAACTAAAATTGTGGCCTACATGACTGAAAAAACGGCCGTGTGACTTGATTTGAAATGATGGCCGCACAGTGTGCCAAGATTTTTGCTGGTGCACCCAATTGTTTTGGGCTTGGAGCACAGTGCTCCTACAAACAGTTAGACTGGAGCCCTAAATGATTACAAGAAAATAGTTAAAAGTTAATTTGAAATCTATCCCAGTTGTTTCTTAACAGCTATTTTTTGTGTGTATCTCATTACCGTGATGATGTCTAACCTTCATCAATGTACATTTAACTCTACAAACTACATGTATGAGTGTTCAAGTTCTATATTCTAAAGGTGCCAGAATGCAGTACTAGAGACTACTGCATGGTGGCATGATTTGTATCACAACTTCAATCTTCTTATCCTAATATTCATACTCCCCGGTGAATTTTGACATCTTAGTAACTTTCTTAGATGCTGCAAAAAATGTAGTATTTTGGAGATCTAACAAGAATGATTTGTACATGCTTGACTACAATTTGACAGTTATGATTAAAAGTTGCCAAAATATGTCAACGTGAAATAAGCATCCCCACAAACGATGCATCATTTTGACAAACAAATTTACTACTTCTACTAAGACTGGTACGCAATATACTGTGCCAAGATGAAGTCTAAATGAAATACAGACAGAAGTCAGAGTGCCAACAATCAGGAATTCCCCAAATCTCTCATGCTTTATTTCCCCTGTTCCCTTCCATCTTCCAACGAGTTTATAGTGGCGAGTTTTCAATCAAAAAGCAATTGCTTCACTACTGATCAAATCTACGTGGGCAACAGATCCGGCGTGGATTAGTGGTGACCTTGACTCTGGAAAGCGATGATGATAATGACTGTGCTAAACTCCATCCACATCATGTCTTATTTGGAGAGAATTACCGCCCGGAAATTGCTTCCTTTTCCAAGCAATCACATTACCAGGCGTGATCAGGACAGTTTGATCGCGTTAAAGCCGTTTCCCCGCGCCGTTGGCGGAGTGACGTCGGGGTAACCTGACCACAGGAACAGCAATCTATGGGCCCTTCACTAGATTTCCTGACAAATGACTGGAAATTTGGAATTTTCTGCCATTAACGCCACTACAATTTCTCATCATCACACTGAGTCAAGCCAATTGGGACACTGTAGAGCCATGACATAGGAATCATCAAAAATCAGCCTTGCTCATTCTGGGTGGGAAAATTTTAGATATTCATCATTACCATAGCTATTATGTTAACTTTACATAAAGCTTGCTGCAGTGGTCAGGCAGAAATAAGGAATAAACCTACATGTACTAGAAAATATGTTACTGGTTAAAAGCTATCATTGAAACTTTCTTACCAATAAAAAGAGAAACTGGATATACATGTACTTACACATATGATTGCAACATTAACTTAAGGAGATAACCAGACCGAACATGAACAAAGAACACATACTAATCTACAAGCACTCATACTGTTATTGAAACCCACATTTCAGGAAGAGAAATAGTTTACCTTTTCAAAAAGCTAGAAGAATTTACTTATATTTGAATATCCTTAATACACTGAAAGATCTTTACTAATACATAACAATTCAATCATAAACACTCCTTCAAGAAAACAAAAATGCAAAAAATTAAGTGTTTATACTATACATGTACCTGACAAAGTACGGTGAAACAGGCATCTTCGACTTTCATAGTACATGTATTACCTGAAATCACTTCTAAAGTTTCCATTATGATCGTTCATCATCTGAACAGCTATATCTATCATGTAGATGCCTGCATACTAAACACACAAAGACCAAGTCTGGAAA